GAAGAAGAGGCTGGATTTTCAAGGTCTTTGATGAACAATCTGGCCATCAACATCGCCTCAGCGATCTGCTGGATGCTGGGCTCCACTGAACAACAGTCTCTGCTTGTTCCCTCCCCTACCTCTTTTAACATTTTCTCTCCCATGCTTTTTACCCAACAATAGTTCCTTGTTTGTCCTTCGAGGAACTATCGTCATTCTGATGAAGAGGTCAGAGGATTTCCAGCCCATATTCAACTCACTCTTTCTCCAAAACTGGGAATTTTAGATCTCTTCCCAGGCTGTATTATTCCTCCAGTTAAGTTCCCTAACAGTTTCACTCCTGTAATCTGGTAATCCTGTAATTCTGGTTTTGGATCCTAAATTCAAGTGCTTCATTCCTTTGTTACAGAGGATTTTGCACCATATAAGGAGTGAAAAAAAAAAGAAGGAAATAACAATAATCACCAAAGCAATCCTCCATGTGATACCTCAACTCCCTTAAAGCATAGTGTGGACATGGTACAGGGACTGTGCTTGGACCTCCAGTTTTGCACGTTGGAGAGGGAAAGAGGGCAGAAAACTCTCCTTCTGTACTGCAGCTGCTGACCCTTTTCTTCTGAAATCTCCCTGAAGCCATTTCAGGAGTTACTCACCTATATGTACTTAGTTGTCTGATCACTGGCCCAGAGCTATTTAGAGGTGAGTTGTGTTCTCACATAGATCTCAAGTCAGCAAATAAGAGTACTTGTCAGCTGAGTCATTTCTGCTAGCTTTGCATTAAGCACTATGGCTCGAGGGGATGTACAGCAGAATTTAGGCCAAGTAGGAGGGCAAGAGCTCAGCATCAGTCAACAGTAAACTCCCTGCAACTGGGTCAAAAAAGCAGGCAGAGTTCAAATGAGAGGGTGTCATAGCTGCATGCAAGAGGATCTGGCTCTCCACACAGCCTGGGAAGGAGGAGTATCTCCAGTGGCATGAGGTTGACCTGAGGCACTCACACAACCTGATGGGATACCCACACGTGAGCACAGCCCAAAAAGGAGAGGACAGGCAAGCCAAACTCTTCTCAGAGCCACACTGTACATCCTAAAATTGCAACCTGCATCATGCAAACTGCAAATTTTAGGCAGAAAACTGGAGGGAAGGAGAGGAAAGAATGAATATCAATATCAATAAAGTGCATTAAAATAAACTGCTCAGGACAGGGAGAGCAAAAAAGGTGGGTATTCAAGAGATCCTCTGGTCTCATTCCCAAACACATTTTCTTTTCCTCATTTGAATGTGTAATTAAAAAATGGCTACAAAATCACCCCAAGGCCCACCTCAGGGTTTCTGTCTGCTCAGAGGTCTGTGGCCCTGATGCTGCAAAGGGGCAATACAAAGAGATCACAACGTGTTCTCTGTAACAGCCAGCTTCATTTTCTTGCCTGTTTGATTGCAAATCCTAAAATGAACAATCTCACCCCACCCTTTGAAAACATTACTGAGTTACCCCTACAGATAAGCCCCACCTGAAAATAATGGTCCAGATCTGAAGTCCTCACCTCTCTAAAATTCAGATTCAGGATTTTGTTCAGACACATTCTAGAGATATGGTAGTGTCAGTGATAAAGCTGCAGTGCTGGCTCTCCAAATATCCCTCCCCAAAGCTTGGGGGTGACTTGAGGTAAAAATCCAAGCTCATTTGAAAATTGCAGGGAGGTTACAAAGACTTTAAAGCCATGCAAAATCCAGCAGCAAGCACAGCCAAGATACCACCCAGCAAAGGAACCTTCAAAACACACTGCATGTTCGAAGGGCCTGTAGGTTTTGCTTGCCTTGGACATCTTCCTAATAGTCTCCAGTGAGAGTGGGGAATGGCAGCACTGAAGCACAACAGGAAAATACACACACAAGGCAAGGTCCCTGCAGCTAAGTCCAGCCTGTAAATTTGGGCAGCTGACATTACAGACGTCTTCCTGTTGCTAGGACTGGCTGTTCTGAAAAGACAGATTGAGACAGGTCAGTGGGCACACACAAAACACTGCTCAGACACCTAGAAATATATTGGGTCAACAAACTATATCAAGACATGGGGCTGAGTTACTGGTCACCATTTAAGAGATTAAATTGGTGCCGTGTCAATAAACAAACAGTAAAGGAGATGGCAGAAATCCTTTTCCCTTTCCACCTCTTCTCTTCGCTGCTGCTTTTTCCTTTGCCCCATTTCTGAGCCTCGGTGCCAAGCTCCAAGGTTTTAAAGCAGCACAGCAGCAAGGACTGCTGGAGGGGATCAATGCTAGGATCAATTTTCTCTCCATACATGATCGTCTGTTCCAAGAAGAAGGGAGAAGGCAGGGTGAAGGCAAGAGCTTTATGTCAGCAATCACAAACCCACATCAGCCCCCAGGGTGTAAAACGCTGCAAAATTCCCTGATAACATAAGGCAGAGCCAAAGAAAACAAACAATGTTGTGGTATTCCTGCCTGGGAGGCACAAATTCTCCATCACCTCCAAGCTTCCTCATCCCCCATCAAAACGATTACATTATAAAAACTGCTGAAAGCAGAGCTTTTCAGGGAGGCCAAGCAAGAAGTCACAGTAAGACAAAAAGTAAGCAAGGGGTGTTGTACGTGTGGGAGCCCTTCTTCCCATGGTGGCTGTATATTGTCCTGTATTAAACACAGGCACAACAATAAGCAATAAATCACAGTCCCGGAGAAGTGCCAGGTGGAATGCACTGGAGGAAATTAAAATATCCTTCTTGATACAGTTCAGTATTGAAATAAATACAAAGGAGGCCAAGTTGACTTATCACCTACATAGCCAGGATGCTAAGCTGAAAAATTTGCAGTTGAATAATTTCCTACCAAAAAAAAAAAAATTAGCTTAAAAAGTCATAATAATATCACAAACATCCTTTTGAACAAATAAATAAATAATGGTCTTCCTTGGCTTTCCCAAGTTTTCTGGGGTTTTTTCCTCCTTTTTTTCAAATGCACAGTCCCTCCACAAGACTCAGCCCTGGGGCAAAGGATCCATTACAGTGTACCCAAGTACACTAGCTGGTCAGCACCCGAATTTGGGAAATTCTGATCTCCCACACTGCCAAATGTATGCACCCACCATGTTGTCACGAGATCCTATCTCATGTACTTTGGTATTGCCCAGTGGCTGTCTTAAATTGCCTAAAAGTATCCTGAAACTGGTCAATGGAGGCAGAGTTTGAGTCTCCAGCCCCCAAAGAGCTGGACTGCTTCGTTATTTCACTGAAAAATGCCTCCAGAAAGTTTGTTTTAGAAAAAAACCAGCGTTGGTACACAAGCTTCGCAGTAATTTCAGCCGGGACTTGGTGCCATACAATGCACAACGCTCAGGTGGTTTGTGGCCACCAGCAGGCAAGTGAATCTCTCTGGAGCCAGGTTTTTGTTTTGCTGGGATAAGTTTATACTAGCAAGGGACTGCCCTGTGGCCCTCAGGTCCCAAATAGATGGTGCTCCTCTGTGGTACCCCCACCCGTCTGCCCTCCAGCCACTACTGCTTTTTCCCTGCTTGCCCCTTTTTCAGGCAGTTGAGCAAACCTCCACCATTTGAGTTTTAATGGAAGTGTCATACAAAATACTTATGCAGGCTGAAACTGGGACACGATCTATAAATTACCGGAAAGCTGAACCCAAGAGTAGGAAAAGAAAGAAAAGGAAGAACTCATCTCTCTTGAAATTGGATCATATATATGTATACACACATAAATATTCTCAAACTGAAACTCCAGGACACTGAAGAGGACAGCTGTTATGCTCTACCTTTTTAAATCTCTGCTTTTAAGGGCTGAGGACAGGATGGCATTTTCCAGCTGTAGTTCTCTTTCTCTTACTAAACACTTTTCTGTCAGCCTGTCTGAATAAGCAACTAAACCTTTACACATTAAACATTTCTGTGTCAAACTTGCAGTAATGGCCAAGTTATGTTTTCTGAAAGGGATAATGAAGAGGTTCAATGAAAATAGAAAGAGCTGGCATTTTTATATTTAGACAGACATTAATTTAGTACAAGCTGATAGATAAACTCTACTTGCGGAAAATAAAATTATGATGAAATTTTCTACACCAATTTTTTTTGTGAGAGAACAGGGACTTCTTGAAGTAGGCCATGAAAGAGGGAATCTGTTTAGATGTTGCTAACAAAATCCTTCCTCTTGTCTAGCACAGAGGACATCAGTTTCAGACAAAACTCTCAGCAAGGAAAGCAAGGCAAAAGCTAGAGAGGAGAAAGAAGAGTATTTTCAAGAGATGTAAACAGGCAATTACCTGCAGCAGACCATGCTACACATTCAGGGAGATTGTTTGAGCATATATGTCAATCAGTTTGTATCACATTCTTTCACCTGCTTAAACAGAGGGATACCATTTGGATGCAAAAACCTTGTACACACATTTCTGGGTGGAAAACTGCTCTGGAGCCAGGGCTGACGATTAAAAAAAGTCTTTTTTCCTACTCCCTTTAAAAGGTACAATGAAGGCACCGAATCTATCCAGGTGTAAGAGGTGTCACACATAGTTGAGATGAGCTATTAGTTTTCAAAAGCAGTAACAAGTTGCTACGCAGCCCAGCCCTGCCTCGTCAGACATTTGAGAGGTGATCATTCGGATAAGCCAGGATAGGCTGGCTGCAACTCAGATTCAGAAACCTGCAGCCGTACTGCCAATAAGAACCACCAGCAGAACACATGGAATTAATAAAAGCAACACTGAAATGTCAAGTTTAAAAAAAAAAAAGTAGTAAATATTGCAAGCCCTTCCTTTGTAAACATACAATTAATTTCTGATGAGGACTAATTAATATTTACAAAAAAAACCCATTGCTCATTCTCATTGCTCCTGACATGAATGTATCTATCAGGAGATGCACTTTCAACAATGTCTTTTGTCTTGTGGTGATTAAAAAAAAAAAGCCTTCTAAAGCGAATCAGACTGGAGTATGTTTCCCTGGTGCTTTTCTTTTTAACCTGAAGTGGAATATATCAGAGCTGTAAATTTGCTTACCCTTCTGTTCTGTACATGGAGCATCTCTCCAGAGGAATTTTTAGCACTCCATTATTTAGGCCCACAAAGAGCGACCTGTCGCTGTGCAGGATTTGGAGACTCTTGATTGCTTCCCGTTGTCCGTCAGGGAGGATCTGCATTTCCTCTAAATAACAACTCCTCAGGCTCCTGTTAGTGGTAGAAAGGGCCTTCAAGATGGTGCCGTACTCTAATAGAACAAGAAACAAGGCACAAGTAAATCTTGGAGGCATTGACTTAATTTCGTACCTGCCTAAAGAGTGAAATATTAACATCATCTTCACACAGCTGCTTTAAACCTACTTCTGGGTCACCTACTGCCTGTGGTAGAGAGCTCCAGCTACATCATTACAATCCTCAGCAGTTCTCAGACATTACAGAAACCGCCTGTGAATGCATTTTAATGGGAACCCAGAAGGACGTGAACCATCTGGAGAGTGACTACCTGGAAATATTTCCCAGTTGGAGCACTGAGGCAGACAAGAGTCTGGTCCCGTTACCAGTGAGTTATACAGCAAGGTGACCTGAGATAGCAGGGATCATTTCTGGTGCCTCGAGTCTGTATTTCTTTTGGTTTACGGAGCAGATTGGTGTGATCTGATGCCATGACAAATGACAACAGATGCAGCGGCCCTGCTGGAAATCTCAGAGGCGTCCGTAATGACTGCATGGGTCACGGATCTAATTGATCCTCTTCCGGGAAGAAGCCGTCCTGCCAGCTTGACAAGGGGATGTTATGGCATGAGCAGTGCATACACAGAAATATATATGTTTCTGTTCACAGTGCTATTACCTAAACAATTTAAAGATCTGATAAACTGTAGCAGATTTATGATGGGGAAAAGGGGGCAACCACACCATTTTTCATTAAAACCCCAAAGAGGTCTGTCAGCCCTGATTGTTCCTGAAGCTTAATCTTTCTATCCTGGCAACTTCTGTATTGGTGCCAAAGCTCAGCAACTTACAGTGTCGGGGTTGGCTACCATGCGAAGCTTCTTTTTCACTTAGGAGGGCCTTAAGTGTGGAACAAGACTGAGGCCCAAGTTTGGGCTTGGTTTGTCTCAGGACTGGGTTTGTGTTCAGGGCTACCTCTGGGCAGGGCCATCTCTACTGAAGTATTGGACTGGTTTAAATGTCTCAGGTCCAGGAGAGCTTACTCTTCAGTCACCCCTAACCAGGGCCAGAAAACAAACACAAATAAGGAGGTAAGGTAATGGCAGTGGACCTTTCTACACAGACAATACCAGGCAGAAAGTATCACAGCTTTCTCTCAGGCTTTGTAGCTGGGACTCCTCACTTGAAATACCAAGATTTCAAAATGGCAGAACCATGTTTTATTTCCATTTAAGTAAAATCTTCTCATCACAATCAATGTCCATGGAGGCTCCCACAGTGGGAATGTTACTAGAACACATCCAAGATGATCACTTTTGAAGTAAGTGGTGGTAAAAGTTAGATAAATGATGACACAGTCCTGGAAGGTGTTAACATGAGAATGAGGCAATGACTCTGCATTCAGATGTGAGATAAAACTAACATTTATGGAAGCAATCCATCTTCTTCTAAACTCAAAGCTTCTGCAATAGAGGATAACAACATTATACCCATGAGGCTGGCCATATGCTCTGATTAATCAAACTATTTAATTTAACCTCTATCATTAGAATGAATATGGGCTAAGACAACCATTTATAACACTTTGTCCTTCTTCAGCATCCTTCATTTATCCAAGATAGCTGTGCTTTTCAGAAAAGGCAATGTGTCCTGCTAATTAGAGGATGGCAGTAGAAATCAGGAGACTAAATCATGTACTTAATTCTACCACTGGCTTGCTATGCTACCACAAAAAAGCACTTGCCTCAGCTTCCCCATCTGCGTTACATTTCAGTGCATGCACATTCCTGAAAGCACTGGAAGTCATACACCAGTGGGCACACAGAAGTGAAAAGAAAGACATAATTAAAACCTTGGGCAAGCCTAGAGGTTAAGTAGTATTATTACTTATTTAGAGATGAGCATGTCATAGTGCAGAGAGGCAACTTACACGCATGAAACCACAGAGCATTTCAGAGACCTTTGCTTTTCCCTACTGTTATGTATTAGCCTGAATAGTTGAAACATGTTTTTATAAAAGGGAGAAAAATGTTATTGTTGTTTTTAAACATAATGTAGATTTATGGTCTGCTCACTTGGGACTCTGCCTCAAGTCCTCCATCCTGCTTTTAATTTACTCAGGCAAACTAACTTCCATGCAGTTTTGTGCCAAAATGATATTGAATGACAACTATGTAATGACGTCACGACTGGGCTCCCAGGGCTGCTAGGTCTACAAGCAAGTGGAGGGAACTTTCTTAAGCCCTGATGCTCTTACCTGTTCCAATATACATCACGTGGTAGAGTGTATCCTTCCCCTGAACAATGTCAACTACCAGTTTGGAAAATCGAATGCTGTCCTGAGTCACATATGGATCTACAGTCACTGGCTGCACGACATCATTCATCAGGAACAAGCGCTGCGCATCCTGCAGGACTCTCTCCGTCAGGTTCTCGTTAGGGCTGTCATCACTCAGAGTCCCACACTAAAAATGGAAGATTGAACTTCAGCACCTGCATTTTCTCCCCACTACAGCAGTCCAACACCAAAGCCCAAAATTCTTCTGGAAACCCAAGCCCTGTTGATTTCCTGAGGAGGTGGGTCTGCGTGAGGGTCACAGGATCTGGCCCTTAGCCTGATCATAGGTCCTTAGCCTAGTTTTGGCCTGTAGCCCACTCTTTAAAAACATTTCTCCTAGCTGGTCCACTGACCAGCGATGTGGTGGTTCATGCCCTTGTGATACCCTGCAGCCAGCACACCAGAAGGGCAAAAGGCATTAACAAACTGAGAAGGAAAAGAAAGAATTAAAACTAGTTGTAGAAAGATTTAAAACTAGCAGTGGAGAGAAATTTTTTGTGGTGATAAATCCTTGAAGTATTTCAAATAATCTTCAGACTCTACCTGGCATGTCAGTCTATACAATGCACAAAAACTGGATGTTAAAAAAAAAATCTGTAAACCAGGTTGGTTTAGCATCAAAGAACCCAAACTCACCACACTGCTTTTCTCTGGTGTTCTCCCTTCTAAACAGAGCCCTCCGGTTTCATCTGAAGCAAGGCAGGTTAGCCAGTAGCTCCCCCCTCCCCACTCGCAGCTCTTCTGTCCTCACAGTGAATGGCAGATCAACCCGTGTCCGTCCATCCTCCAGCACCAAGGGGTGCACTGCAATAGGACTCAATGCCCTTGTCCATCCAGAATAGGGGGGAAGAACAGAGCTCATCTTCTGTCTTTTAAACACCAGTGTAAGTCCTACCAGGTGGATAGCACATTTTAAGGCCTGAATTTCTCTCTCACACTAATCTCTAGAATTCAGCATTTTCAAAAGCCAATGCAAGAGTAAACCCTCCATGCAGTTTTGTGGTCCATGTCAGAAGCCAGGGCAGGATCTTCACTTTTCCCGACAATGCCATGTGTAGTGGGCAGAGGATTTATTACTCCAAAAGACAGCTGCATGACTGGTTATTTATCTTGCTGAAGGCCATGGAAGTCAGCGGTACAACTAGAAATCCTGTCAACTCCCATACTCAGTCCATGGACAACTTCGCTTCTCACTAAGTGAAGCTCACACTTGAGTAATTTCACTAGAAAAATACCCACAAATTTATTTTTCTTCTTTTTGGGTCCAGGTGCTCAGGCTTTCGTTGGAAGAGAAGTTAAGTGTACTGTGAATTAGGGTGTCGATTTACAGCACTCCAGCTACAGCGCAAAGATTTCCCGTGTGCATACTTTCGATGTGCATCAAAGCAACTCTTTGCAGCGTGGCTGCCTTTCCGAGGTGCACCATGCAGAGCTTCTCTTACAACGTGCTAAAATGAGTTGACAGGAATTTAGCTCACATTTACACAATAAATACGGATCCTGATGGCTGGTGTACTAAGCCCTACACCTATTTTGGAGCTTGTGTGAGCTAGGTGAACAGGGTGATACTAATTCTCACCATCTATGAACATGGTGACTTTTTTATCAACTTAAGCATCTTCCTGAGCTGCCAGACTAAGGAAATATCAGTGAGTTTTTGATGTGTCCTCAGGTGGGCTTTAATGGTTTTTTTTCCTATTGCAATGGTCTTTTTTAGTTCATGACTCATCCCACATTCTAAAGAGTTTTCAGATCTCTCTCTTCCGCAGTATCCTATACTCCTGGTTTACACTACTGTCTTGCTTTGGATGCTTTTCTTGCCACTCACTTTCCTTTCTTAAGCATCACTGAAGGAGGAGTCCCAGTGGCAGGAATGTCATTGTTGGTTTTGTTTTCTGTTCTCATCAAGTCACAGATAATCCTTTTGGTCTATTGGCAGCCCATGTGCTGACACAGCATCCCTCTGGTTTGGTTTTATTTTGTTTTGTTCTAATTTCCTGATTATCTGCATTGCCCTGAGCTTCTATATCCTTCAGGATTTCTCCTTCCTCTCTGCAAGAAAAAAATTCTGGCATGCTTCCCTCATCTTCCTTTGTGAACACTGAAGCAAAAAAAATTAATTTAATTTTTTTGTAATATCTGCCTCTTCTGTCACTAAATTACCCTTGTCATCTCCTAAAGGCCCTTCACTGACCTCTTGTTCCTCCTGTACTTGAAAAACATCTTAATCTCTTCTTGCAATCTTCCTTTTGTCTGCGACATACCTCCTTTTCCTTTCCTTATTTTCCTCTGACCCTTTTCTTTCATTTTGCTGCTGCAATCTTTGCACTCCACATTTTATCTGATACTTTTCACTACATGGAAATGCTTTCCAAAGTCCTTTTCTATTCCTCCTAAGCTAGCCCAGCAAGGGACAGAAAGTCCTTGATCCTTAGTTAACCTAAATATTCCCTTTAAATTCAAAATAATAAAAAAAAAAAAAAGAGAGAGAAAAAAAGCCTGGCCATATTTCATATGGCTGCACCTTCAGTGAAGCTTTGTTTCTCAGTTTTGACTGCATGAAGCTGAGGGTGTGATCAAGAGCCCAAATCTGTCCCACCTTGTCCAGGCAGAAGCCCTCACTCAGGTGCCACGAGGGAATTCGGGGGAAGAAATCAGATTCCTCAGCAGG